AGAGTACCATCCAAACATTCATATTATTGAGTAACTCAGCCACTCATGGGGTACCACCTTGAAAAATTGTCTGGATGCTGTTTTTTAAAAAGGGTTTAATAAGGCATCTATATAATTATTTGGAAAACCTTGCACTTTAAAGCTTTAATACAAATATGGTTTCCTAAAGTAAATGGACCAGCTTTAGTCAAAGAAAGGTGGAGAAAGGGTTTATGTTTGTTTTTTCAACCCCAAAAGTGGTTGGGCACAATAGAGTACCATCCAAACATCCATATTATTGAGTAACTCAGCCACTCATGGGGTACCACCTTGAAAAATTGTTTGGATGCTGTTTTTAAATAAGGGTTTAATAAGGCATCTAATTATTTGGAAAACCTTGCATTTTAAAGCTTTAATACAAATATGGTTTCCTACAGTAAATGGACCAGCTTTACTCAAAGAAAGGTGGAGAAAGGTTTTTTTTTTTTCAACCCCAAAAGTTGTTGGGCACAATAGAGTACCATCCAAACATTCATATTATTGAGTAACTCGGCCACTCATGGGGTACCACCTTGAAAAATTGTCTGGAAGTTGTTTTTTTAATAAGGGTTTAATAAGGCATCTAATTATTTGGAAAACCTTGCGTTTTAAAGCTTTAATACAAATATGGTTTCCTAAAGTAAATGGACCAGCTATACTAAAGGAAAGGTGGAGAAAGGGTTTTTGTTTTTTTTCAACCCCAAAAGTTGTTGGGCACAATAGAGTACCATCCAAACATTCATATTATTGAGTAACTCAGCCACTCATGGGGTACCACCTTGAAAAATTGTTTGGGTGCTGTTTTTTTTAATAAGGGTTTAATAAGGCATCTAATTATTTGGAAACTTTGCATTTTAAAGCTTTAATTTAAAAAAATGAAAAAACAGAAAAACATTTTTTAAGTAACTAATTTAAAAATAAATTCAAAAAATAATTAGTTCATTAATTAATTAGGAAAAAATAAAAAAAACATCTGGAAAAACATTTGCCACAATACAGGCCCCCCCCACCAAACAGCAGGTTACTGAATAAGGAGGATATTTTTTGCCACAATAGAGTACCATGCTACTAATCAGGTGCTAACATTATATATATATATATATTAGTACGTTCATGTATTTTCTGGGCCCGGACGACTCAACCACTCCATGTTGAAGCTAGTGGTGTTAGGTAAACTCTGGTTTGGCAGGTTTCTAATGCATGTTATGCATGTTTATTTCAAACCAAAGATTTCTAGCCATAGGTGGCTGAATATATCATACCATTGTAGTTACTGTAACGACATTTAAATATGTTGCGGGCCAGACCGCGAGGCCCCGGAGGTAGTATGAACTACCAGTTCGTATATTTAAATGTAGTTGCAGTATGTTTAAATGAATTGGATTCCGTATGTTTAAATGGCTGGGCGGGCCAAGGAAAACCTTCCCGGAGGTAGTCTAAAATACCTGTTCGTATATTTAAAAATCCGTATATTTAAATGTAGTTACCGTATTTGTTCTCTTCGTTGTGTCTAAGCCGCTAAGCCATGTACAGGGTAACCCACGCGGGCTGTGTAGGAGCTGGTTTGCGACACCAGCAATGTGCAGCTTGGTTCACAATGCCTGGAAACCCCAAGGGCCCAAGTGTGGTTGCTGACATCCATGTAGCTGGTTGTATCACCATGTTGTTTGCATCATGTCCCATTATATCTTCATGAAAAACAACAGTTTAGAGTCCCAAATCACGACTTGTTGCTGATATATCCAATTCTATCCCCAGTATCATTCCACAAAGTTCATCCAACTTCCCATTTTATCATGGTATTCTGCCAATATTATATATCCCCATGATTGTATATGATATATTTTTAAATAAATAAATAAATATATATATATATATCCAATCCTATGATTATCCGCATAAAACCATCAGGTCAATCCCATACTACACATCGCATCGAGGTTCTACTTCACCACACTGCTGGTCATCATCATCCTAGCTTTGCTTTGCACACCAGGGGGGCGAAGGTCTTTCAGACAGGCGGATGGCCTTCAATTCAAGAAGGATACATGTTAATCCGTTGGCTTGTTTATCATCAGAATCGTCTTATCATGACTCTCACTGATTGAGTATCATTTATTAATCACAATTGAAATTCCTTTGTTAACCATTATTTATCATTAATCACGACCCTTTATATTAATCAGTGTTTGAACCCGTTATAATCCTGATTGAATATCCTTGATTACCATCATTATCTAATGACCGATGGCGACAGCTGGGCCAGGCAACTGCATCTCCAGCGCCTGCAGGACGTAGACGTAAATCGCTCGCTGGTATAACTGGTAGATGTACAGATGTTGGTGCAATCTAAAGATGTGTATCATATGTTACATCAGATAAACATATATTTGTAGAAATACACATATACATACATACATATATATATATACACATGATTATACATGAATGTATATTATATACACATTCCTGTGTGTGTGCGTGTGCGTGCGTGTGTATTTACGTATGTATATACAATTAAACAAGTAAACTAAAGATATGATATAGTGTTCTTAATACAAGGCTATTTGGTTGAGTATGTTTTCTTCCCCAGGGGGGAGTTTCGCCATGGAAAATACGCCTTGGATGGGGGATCAGCTGTTTAACTAGCTGCTGATTGCAGATTGCCCGTACTTAACCAGCAAACAGTCCGATGAAATCTATCCTCATTGGGATTTATTGTGACGCAACCATGGGTTCATGCACCGTTGACTGCTGCCGCGGAACGCTCAAGAAAATAATTCAAACATTGGTTTAAACTGAAAATGCCCAATATTTGAATATGTCCCTGTTCTGGATTTCATGACATGTAAATCGTATTTATTGTTTCTCCTTCTCCACAAGGTTTGACCTTTTTGTATTTTTTTGTGACAAGGTGACAAGTCACATGTCCGTTACTTATTTGGGGGATCAAGAGCGAACTATAGCCGACTGAGGAGCAGCAGGAGCTGAAGCAAAGAAAGAAGAAAAAACGGAGAAGGTGCCAAGAACTCCCCACTATTTGGCGGTTTCCAGCAATGAGGCAATGATTTTTTCAGCTGGTTGGTGGTTTCAAACATTTTGATTTTCCATAGTATATGGGATAGTCCTTCCCATTGACTTTCATATTTTTCAAGATGGTTAAAACCACCAACCAATCAGTTTTTCCCCTTTCACAAAGTGTCATAGCTGGCCGTGCCAGTTGACTTCTGGGATCAAGTCCCCAAGGCCATCAGGTAATCCTAAGCGACGGCTTGTTTTTCCTCCACTTATTGATGTTTGTTCTACGTCTTTTCGTTGAATGTAAACCGAGTTTTTTTTGGACATCCAAACTCAAAACGCCGAAATTCATACTATACCGACTATACCTACTTTACCTACTATACCTACTAAACCTACTAAGCACCTACTATACCTAATCGGTCCAAAGTTGATGATGCACTCCCCCTACCCCCCAATTGGCATCTCAACGAAACCAGCGTTTTGGTGCTCAGGTGGAGGGGAAAGAAGCGCAGGCGCAGCAGCATGTTGCAACCACGTATTTATGCTAAAGCCCTGAAAACAATAATTCGGAAAAACAAGTTCGATCAAAAGTGAGACAAGTAAACATGAAATATTATGATAAACCACCCTAAATGCGTTATTTCGTTCGCGGTTCGCATTAATCCCTTGCCCCAACATTGGGTTAGTATTGGATCTGTTCATTTTGCAGCCCTCAGCTTTCTGATCGGGATAGGATTACGGTATGCCAATTTTAAGTGGATGAATCTCCTCAAATTCCCATTGAGTAAATCTCATCAATTACCCTCCATTTCCCAATTTGTTAAGATAGGATCAATCTCATTTTCTGATCTAATGGATAGTGATTGTTGGGTAAATCCTTTTTTTCTATTGAGTTTGGATGGCAGTCCGCCGCTGTTCATTTCAGGAGAAGCCAAAAGAAGGGTAGGTCAGGGCCGGCTTTTCAGGAGCTGCGTAAGATAAAAGGTGTGCCACGGTGTGCGGGTTGCTGAAGCCTGGGTCAGCCTTTGGTGTTAAGGGGTCATATTGGTTGATGTTTTTTCAACTCATGGGGGAACTTTTGGAGCAAAAGATGCCATAGGTTCTCTCAGCTCTCGTTTTCAGAATATCGATTGTACTGTCCATGAATTTAGCGAGCTGTCTGATGAAGGGTGGGGTAGTATAGGTTCATTCTCGGTAAAAACTGTTGAATGTCATGCTGCACATCTAAAATTAGTCATAGGATGTCATAGGTTCTCGCACTATGTCCCCCGTAAGATTTCCCATATTTCCCAATGATTTTCCCAGTATATGTTCCCTACTTTCTTGTTTGATAAATCCCACATGTCTCGACACATCCATGATTAGTTAGCTGCAATTAGCTCATATTGTTGGTCGATACTGAAATATGTTTATACATCTAGACATGCATATCCATACCCATTCTTATCACCATGAAATCACTCATCCGATCTTTTTCGGGAAACTTTCCGAGAAACCGTTTTTGTAAAGCCCAAAAAATGATTCGGGTGTCCTGGTCAGTTTCCCATAAAGCAATTTTGAATCAGCACTTTATCACCATTGTATCACCAAAAGGGTCCATCCCCAGTACTTTTACCATCTTATCCTTATGATTCCCAAAGGATCCAAATACTTCCTGAGAAGGTACGGCTGTATCCATGGATGGGCCACAGTTAGTTAGTTGGCTACTGACTAGTTCGTAATTTCATTATCATTGAGATTTTTGATCGTTTTTGGTGGTTTATAAAAACTATATAAACATACTACTTATAACAAAACATCAAAAATACAAACATCACACAGTTAGCTATAACCCAGTTACCTATAACCATAAAAATATGACATTATGATCTGGTTTATCCTTACCTCTAACCAAGTTACAAACCAGGCTTGTGTTTTTCTCCTTCCCGGCACGGGCCACGGTTGTGTGGACCGCGACGCAGGGCTGGTCCTGGTGAATCCAGCGACCTCCTTTGACCGCACGGTGTGGCCATTGCTTGGCAGGGCTCTCAGTGGGGCCACATAGGATGATTTCACCATCTTAGTCGACAGTAATTTGACCATTAAATCATTTTAAATCCATTAAGAATTGTGATTTAAAGATATTTAAAGGGCTTAGCCACTATACAATCAAGAGTATTTTATGGGCCTGAAAAATCATCAGAGGGATTGAACCCTCCAATTTGGGTATCCAATAGGGGAATTTACGAACTAAATATGGGGATAATCTGATAATGCGGTATCAAACAACAAACCTACCATCTAAGGATGGTCTACGCAATCGGAAAATGTGCAGAGGTTTAACTTCCAAACATGGGAGGGATTCCCCATTTGCGCCTGTTGGTATATAACTGGTTGGTGGTTTGGAACATTTTTTTTTTTCCATAGTATATGGGATAATCCTTCCCATTGACTTTCATATTTTTCAAGATGGTTAAAACCACCAACCAGATAAGCTTGTAAACCTGTCAGACAAAGTATATGACAGGCCACGCTTTCTCAAATCCTGATGGACAGTGTGACGCGGCCAGAACCATCTCGCATCACCACACATGGTTTTTGTTAAAATCATCGTGGTATTCGCAGATGTGCACTGGAGGATGCACTGTTTTTTTTTGGTTGGTTCGACCTTACCCATACCTTTGCGTCCGTCCATTGTTGCAGCAATGATACCAATAATTTTCCAAAGTATGTATAATATAGTGCTATATAATTGATGATTTATAATTACATTTTTTAAAACACCATGTATGTGCATAGTAGATGAATTATGTGACTGTATATTATATAAATCACATTATGTGTATATATATATATTCATATATATGGGAAATAACAATTTCATATAAGATACAGTTTTTTATTTAATGTATACTCATGTGTATTTGTTCAATATATATATAGTAATGTGTATAGCTAGACTAAGTCCATTTTCTTTGCACATGTTGCGCGTTTTTTTTTGCCTCACGTGTTGCGGCGAGGTCGAGTGCTTGCCGCAGTGCCCAATGTGTGGAGCCCCAAGAGTCCTGTGTCGAAGCGTGGATGAGGATTTGGCAACTGAAGCGTTTAAGATGGTTTAAGCACCAAAAACACCATGAAAATGACGAGCAATGGTGATTTCACCAAGAAAGATTGGGATTTGTGTTGAAATTTACTGAGAGAGAAGAAAAATAGTGATTCATGGTGATTAAAGCGTCATAAATAGTCGTTTTTTTTTCATGCGATAATATGGTGGGATAGAATCGTCGTAAAAAAAAAAAGAAATATGATGAGGACATAATGGTATGTACAGGATGGTGCTCCAGTTTGTTTCCCAAGTTAGTTTGTTCCACTATATTAGCAGTTAGTGTCTGAAATCACTGTAGCTAGATGGCTTACGAAACCATACTAAACCAACTCATAACTTATAACTAATGGGCACGATTATATTGCAAGAACCGGATATATCTGGGCAAACCATGGGGTTGATGAGTGTGTAAGTGCTTGGTTTCAGAACATTGGAAAATTGATTAACCAGCTCCAGATATATAGACTTGTTGTTTTGTTGTTTTGTAGCGCAAGGTACCCTCTGGTAAACTAACATAATTATGGAAAATCACCATGTTTAATGGGTAAACCCACTATAAATGGCAATTTTCAATAGCTATGTTAGTTTACCAGAGGGTGCTTAGGGTTAGGTTAGCCATGACAGGGATGCCTTTGGGTCATGCTACCCGGGATCCAGTTTGGCGATCGCCGTGCAAGGAACCGGGGAATTTGCCGCCCATGGGGTCGCACAAAGACTTAAACGAGCTCTTTGAGGAGACGCCTGTGACAATTCACTGGGCTTGAATTGAAGCAAAAAGATGTCACCGATGTCATGCAATTCAGCCAGATTCTGCACCTCCAGGATGGCGATGAAGAGAGAGGGAGAGAGATGTTATGCAATGTTCACTTTGTAAAATGATGCAACATGTATTTTCTAGACAAGTCGTGAAACTGTACAGGTGGTATGAAGATTTGCAGTATCATCCCAGCTAGGTGGATCATCCACGTGCCTGCTGTGGATGTTGTTCTGCACCACCACGCATGCCTCCAATTTAGAGCTTTGCTGAGATGAACGCGGCTCCGTTAGCTACATGATCAGCATGATCAGTGTGCCATATACTGTGATATAATTCAAATATTGTAAGATATGGGCATGTATCTATATGGGGGTTCCCATAAATGGGGGGGTACCCCCCATAAATTGATTTATATTTATAATAGACAATCCTATTAAAATGCATGATTTGGGGGTACCCCTATTTCAGGAAACCTCCATATGTTTATGGTTTTGATGTGATATGCATATATCATCTATATATATATATATATACATTTAATTAAGATATCTATAGAATCTATGTTTTTCTATGTGTACTTACCTTATGTGCAAAACACCATCATTTTTTGGAAAAAGCTCTGCAGGATATCCAGAGCCGTGCCACGCTGTCGCCCTATCCGTACCTGGCGGGCTCGGCGCGGTGGCCCGATTCGTTCTGCCAATCGATTGGTTGTTGCTGGTCGATTTCCCAGTTATGTGGTTTTTGTCGGGATGAAACCAGCCGAAATGAAGACTTACAGAATCATCAGAAACAAGGACTTCATCATATTTCATCATATTTCATCCATGAAAATGAACATGGTGTTGTTCAAAAAATATGGCGTATACCGTATAATTTGTGGCAATGTAAGAATGGGAAGATCATAAACCGCTAGATTTTGGGGGTACCCTTCAGCCCACATTGGACTGCACCAAGGCATTGACCGGCACAGTGGCCGATTCCACGCAGTGGCTCGGTGATGTGGCAGTGATGGAGGATTTAACGTTTTGAGTTGGGTTGTCACATTAATTATAGGTGTTTAACCATGCAACAAGAAAGCATGCCTCTCATTTTCCCATGTTTTTGACCAGCAAACAGAGAAGGAATTTGACATACTTGAAACAACAAAGATGTCGATGATAATGAATGAGTATGCTGAAACTCCTGTGCGGTTGATGGCGAACAGTTGGCTCATACTAGATTCTGAACCAATCCATTTCTAGAACCCCTATCAGCCAGCGAATGCCAGCGAGTGTTTCGGCAAGAGGGATGGTTTTGAACACCGTACATGTGTTTTTTAAACAACCAAACCGTGGGGGCATGTTTCATAAGAAAGCCCTTTTTCAAAGCTATAAACACGGGGCCCTAAGGATTCCATCCCAGCGGTGTGGCACCCAATTGGGTGATGGAGAATTCCGCATGTGCTGCATACAGAAATGGGGATATTATAAGTGCAAATATATTAATTAATAATATTATATAATTATATAATAAATAAAAACATATGTAATTAATGCCAACACCGGAGTAATAAATACCCCCCCCAGAAGGTCAGAACTCTACCGGTCCCCCCTTTCGCACCCCTTAATATATAAATGGCCTCCGAACCATAAAATTTTGGATATGGCTTACGTCAATTGGCTGAAAGCAATGGGGGACATTGGGAATGAATAGTCAAATCCAAAGAAAAACATTAGGGACATGGTGGTTGATTAATCAGGGGCAAACCCTGATTATTATTAATGGGGGACATGGGCTCATGGGGGGTAGGTACCCTTTGGGAGCTATCCAAACTGATAATTTTTATAAAGAATTTAATTAGAAATCGATCATTTGGGGAATAGTTGTTAATTGAAATTTTCAATGATCAACTTAAACCTTAAGTATAACAATGATGATTAAAGAAAGATAAACAAAAAAAACAGTTGGAAATAAATAGAATTGGAAATAAAAAATGTTGGATAAAAAAATGGATTTCAGCAAAGGGGGTTGATTAATCATGTCCTAGCCAAACGGTTTATTAATCCTGGGGCACCACCTGCTTTTAAATTGCTTTTTTTTTGGGGGGGGAGGAGGTTGATTAATAACGGGGTGTTGATTAATCCTGACTTGACATTACAGATGTATAGATAGATGCCTTTCCCGCAGAAATTGAGACTTCCGCGCCAGCTATGTTTGATTACCAGAGGGCTTTCGCTGTGCGAGACAGTGGCTCAGGCTTGGACGCTTGTTCTCGCGGATTGTGGTGGCCTAAATTCACAGCTGCTGGGGTTGTGTTGACCTGACATTTGCGGTTGTGTAGGAAAGGCTTTTTCCCGGTTTCCCACTTTCAAACCATAAGTGGTTTGACAGAACTTGCAGCGCCATTGTTGGTGGTATAAATCCTTTCTCAGATGGGCTATGGAGCTGGTTAACTTATAGTTTGTAAATGGAGTATAACTGTATTTTTGTGGTATTAAAGGCCCAGTTACGAAGCAGGAATCGCGAATCACATGGCCCAGCAAGTACTTTTGCTATAGAAGACATCGTTCATCCATGAATTTTACGCGTTGAATCCACGTTTTCGTTGAATCCCAGAGGGCACCATTTTACCAAGGGCTTGCAGATTCTCAACAGCGGCAGCACACTTGATCCAAGTGTCGAGAACTTCCTGCTGTGCGCCGATTTTTGTTGGTTCATTTATATAATTTAACCTTCGAAAATGGCGATTTCACCATGGAAATTAAAAACCTTGGGTAATTGCTTGAGTAAAGCTGGGATGGGCAGGGAATTCATCAAGAATTGGATGAAATCCCCAACACTGGGGATGTTCATCCCAAACGTAAATGGCACATATTTGGGTCAACTAAATGGATGGATATGATGCCCAACGTAAATCTGACATAATGTGACCAGTGTGTTGAGACCCATAATTATTTGGTGCCCAATTTGCTTCAGCCTTTGCAGTTATTATTCATACATAGTATGGAGTTGTCCTAAAATGAAGGCACCCCAAAAGTGATGGTTTATAGTTTATAATGGAAAATCCTATTATTGGATGATTTAGGGGGATCCCCAAACCTTCATATATGCACTTCGGAGCAACACAATTTGCATTGCAACAATCACCATAAAAGATTGCTAGTAAATCAGTACCATTAGTTGTTGATGGTTATTGTCATAAGGCATCAACATAATTAAATCCCTATTCTTGGGGGATCCCCTTTTGTCGTGGTTACAGTATTCCATCCAAAACCATTGTGGCTGTTTTTATACACTGTAATTGCTGCGAAAAAACACAAAGCCATTCATGGGGTTGAAGACTGCTGGAGGATCCCCCGTTTCCAGGTACCCAGAGACCCAGAGAATCTTGCTCAGCTACTTCCCCCTGAGACTGTGAAGTTTCGCTTGCGCCATTGGCTACGAGATGGATGTGAATGGGTCCCATGGCCATGCGACTTCTGAGGGCGGTGTGTTTGTTCCCCACCTGCCAGGTGAGGGTTGCTAGATTTTAACAAACTCTTCTCCTCCTCCGCCTCCTCCGCCTCCTCACCCGCCGCCTCCTCCTCGCAGTCCAGATCCGAGTGGGCACAGCCGGACCTCCACCACGAGCTCCAGATCCCAGTGGGCACTGCCGGACCTCAACCGCGACTTCCAGGTCGCAGTGGGCACTGCCGGACCTGAACCGCGAGCTCCAGATCCCAGTGGGCACTGCCGGACCTCAACCGTGAGCTCCAGATCCCAGTGGGCACTGCCGGACCTCAACCGCGACTTCCAGATTGCAGTGGGCACTGCCGGACCTCAACCGCGACTTCCAGATCGCAGTGGGCACTGCCGGACCTCAACGGGAAGAATGTCAGAAAAGATGTCAGATAGAATGTCAGAAGATATGCCAGATAGAATGCCAGAAAGAATGTCAGAAAGAATGCAGAAGATATGCCAGACAGAATGTCAGAAGATATGCCAGAAAGAGATGTCAGAAGATATGTCAGATAGAATGTCAGAAGATATGCCAGATAGAATGCCAGAAAAAATGTCAGAAGATATGCCAGATAGAATGTCAGAAGGTATGCCAGATAAAGTGCCAGAATGTTTGCCAGATAGCATGCCAGAAGATTTGCCAGAGAATATGCCAGAAGATATGCCAGAACATATGCCAGAAGATATGCCAGGTAGAATGCCAGAAGATATGCCAGATAGAATTCCAGAAGATATGCCAGATAGAATGCCAGAAGGTATGCCAGATAGAATGTCAGAAGATATGCCAGATAGAATGTCAGAAGGTATGCCAGATAAAGTGCCAGAATGTTTGCCAGATAGCATGCCAGAAGATTTGCCAGAGAATATGCCAGAAGATATGCCAGAACATATGCCAGAAGATATGCCAGGTAGAATGCCAGAAGATATGCCAGATAGAATTCCAGAAGATATGCCAGATAAATGTCATGGTGGGGATCACACGAAGTAAAGTAATTTCAGTTGTTTTTTCAAGATGCTGGGCTTGCAAACCGGGATCTAGAGAACCCCATAGAACCCTTTAGTTACTGTCGTTTGTAACCCAGGGTTCCCAATTCAAGACTGCTGCTTAGTGCCATGGCTAGTTGATGACCGTGGAACCCTTCAAGTCAATAAACACCTCAGGTAGTCGGGTAGTTTTTAATTATTAGGAGATATTTATTATTAAGATATTTATTATTAGGGTGCGAAGCTTCCCCCTAATACTAGATTTAAAATTAAATCCGCCCAAAAAAATATCAACAATTATTTTTTCTATTTCAAATCGATGAGATTTCCTTTTAAAATCTAATTAAACTATTGCCAAAAATTTGATTTCGAAGCTTTCCCCTAATACTAAATTAAAAACCTTAATGCAAAAAAAAAACTATATTTGTTTCTATTTCAAAATCGATTGGGTTTCTTTTTAAATCTAATTATCATACTGCCAAAAATTGGATTTCGAAGCTTTCCCCTAATATTAAATTTAAAACCCTAATATTTAAAAAAACAACATAAAACAATTATTTTTTCTATTTCAAATCGATTCGATTTCCTTTTAAAATCTAATTAAAACATTGCCAAAAGTTGGATTTCGAAGCTTTCCCCTAATATAACATGCTTTTTTCTTGGCCTTAAAAGACGGACCCTAATAAGAAACACCCCAGGGCTGACTAGTTTTTATTATTAGGGGGTGAACGCCTGAAATGGTAGCTTCATGTTCAAATTGTTTTCTAAAGGGGATCAGTTAAAAATCAATTGGCCAACCGCATTTTTTCCCAAATTGGAGACGGACCCTAGTTTTTATTATTTGGTGAGTTTAGTAATAGGGGGAAGGGATTATTCACGTCCAGATTCAATAAAATTCATTGGAGTTGGTCGACGATTAAATACATATATATATATATATACAGAGATCAGAGGTTATACATGGAAATTTCTAGGTTGATGATGTGGAGTAGATAGAATACGAATATGGCAATGTATTTATTCAAAAACAGGAATGTTTGCTAGTTATTTTTTGATATTCCATTTGCTGCAGGATGACTGCTATGACTACGTATAATATATCCACTGAATTATCCCACTCATAACCCACTACTCGTACCAATTCATACATATTATATATATATATCAGATCATATCCCATATAAATCATATAATATGACATAGTATCATTAAACTTTTTTTAAAATATCTATGGTGCTATATTATTAATATTAGTGTATCCTAATTTAATACTATTTCAATGGGAATTTCAGGATCCTAAATTGGAGGTACCTACCATATATAAGACCTATATAAGGCCTATGTAAGGGAATATCCCAACAAAATATGGCCGTATATAGGTACAGTACCTCCATTTTAGGATCCTGAAATTCCCTTTGATCCACTGGCCATAGACCATCCCCAACTAAACTTTGATAAACTTTGCATATTCCCTCGTTGCCTGGGCGCAAGTTTTTATTGTGGAGGTCAACAGCGAGCTGCGGCGCCGCCGGGGCGCGTCCTTTGGAGGCGAGATGAAAAGCTCTGGGATGATAGGAGAAATGATCAAACATCTGTAGATAGATAGATAGATAGATAAATAGATAGATAGATAGATAGAAAGAAGAAGATAGATAGATAGATATATAGATAGATAAGATAGATAAGATAGATAAAATAGATAAAATAGATAAATAGATAGGTAGATAGATAGATAGATAGGATAGGATAGGATAAGATATGATAAGATAGGATAAGGTAGGATAAGATAGGATAAGATAAGATAGGATAAGATCGGATAAGATAGGATAAGATAGGATAGGATAGGATATAGGATAGCATAGATAGATCGATAGATCGATAGATCGATCGATCGATAGATAGATAGACATAGAGATAGATAGATAGATAGATAGATAGATAAGATAGATAAGATAGATAAGATAGAAAGATAGATAAGATAGATACATAGATAGATAGATAGACAGGTAGATAGATAGATAGATAGATAAGATAGATAAGATAGATAAGATAGAAAGATAGATAAGATAGATACATAGATAGATAGATCGATAGATAGATAGATAGACAGGTAGATACATAGATAGATAGATAAGATAGATAGATAGATAAGATAGATAGATAGATAGATAGATAGATGGACAGGTAGATAGATGGACAGGTAGATAGATGGACAGGTAGATAGATAGATAGATAGATAGATAAGATAGAACTATAGATATATAGACAAGATAGATAGATAGATAGATAGATCGTTAGATAGATAGATAGATAGATCGTTAGATAGATAGATAGAAAGACAGACAGGTAGATAGATAGATAGACAGGTAGATAGATAGATAGATAGATAGATAAGATAGATAAGATTGAATGATAGATAGGATAGATACATAGATAGATAGATAGATTGGTAGATTGATAGATAGATAGATAGATAGACAGGTAGATAGATAGATAGATACATAGATAGATAGATAGATAGACAGGTAGATAGATAGATAGATAGAAAGATAGATAAGATAGATACATAGATCGATAGATCGATAGATAGATAGACAGGTAGATAGATAGATAGATAGATAGATATATAGATAAGATAGGTGAGATAGAACGTTAGATAAGATAGATACATAGATAGATAGATCAATAGATAGATAGATAGACAGGTGGATAGATAGATAGATAGATAGATAGATATATAGATAAGATAGATAAGATAGAAAGATAGATAAGATAGATACATAGATAGATAGATCGATAGATAGATAGATAGACAGGTAGATAGATAGATAAGATAGATAAGATAGATAAGATAGATAAGATAGAAAAATAGATAAGATAGATAAGATAGAAAAATAGATAAGATAGATAGATAGATAGACAGGTAGATAGATAGATAGATAGGCAGGTATATAGATAGATAGACAGGTAGATAGATAGATAGATAGATAGACAGGTAGATAGATAGATAGATAGACAGGTAGATAGATAGATAGATACATAGATAGGTAGATAGATAGATAGACAGGTAGATAGATAGATAGATAGAGAGGTAGATAGATAGATAGATAGATAAATAGATAGATAGATAGATAGATAGAAAGATAGATAGATAGATAGATCAGATAGATAAGATAGAAATATAGATAAATAAGATAGATAGATAGATAGATAGGTAGATAGATAGGTAGATAGACAGGTAGATAGATAGATAGATAGACATAAAGATAGATAGATAGATAGTTAGATAGATAGACAGATAGATAGATAGATAAGAGAGAACTATAGATATATAAATAGATAGATAGATGGATAGATGGATAGATAGATAGATAGAAAGAAAGAAAGATAGATAGATAGATATATAGATAGATAAGATAGATAAGATAGAAATATAGATAAAATAGATAGATAGATTGATTGATTGATTGATAGATAGATAGGTAGATAGGATAAGATAGGATAAGATAGGATAAGATAGGATAAGATAGGATAATATAGGATAAGATAATATAGGATAAGATAGGATAAGATAGGATAGGATAGGATATAGGATAGCATAGATAGATCGATAGATCGATCGATAGATAGATAGATAGACATAGAGAGAGAGATAGATAGATAGATAGATAGATACATAGATAGATAAATAGATAGATAGATAGATAGATAGATAGATATATGGGAGGAATCTCCGGTTGTATGTAAGAAATCTTCATTTATTTGATTTGATATGATGTTTTTTCTAGGACACTGTGGCACCTCTAATTATGTAATTGAATATAAATCGGGTCAGACGGTATGAATTATTATGATGAATTTGTAAACTGCTGATGATCATGAATTATTTTGAATAATGATTAATCAAATGACTAATTTCCAAAAAGAAGCATGGCTTTTCTTTCACATAGGACTCCCTTGGAGTGCTATTATATTTAATTGCACATGTACTTGAGCCATGAAATACTACTTTAATGGGAATAAAAGGAATTCGATGAGAGCTCAATGGATGGATATTTTAAGTGGTAACGAACGCAATGTGATTGGAGTTTAGTGGGATTTATAATAATGGGAATGAATGGGATTTACTGGGAACATATAGGGGTTCCCAACTGATCTAAATCTTGAGTCATGGTACATGCCCGTAAAACTTAATCTCAAGTCTTCTTTCTTTGGGGTAGCTTCCTTGATGCATGTGCGGATTGCGTTTGTGGCTGGGTTTCTGACCCACTATCTATCCCAGAGAGAGACCTTGCCCTTGGAGACCATTGCCGTGGAAACTGCAGCTCTCCGGACCGAGATCAAGACTGCTCGTGAATCAGTGCAAGAGCTGCAACTAGGCCAAGATAGCTGCGTGTGGCGATTGTGGGTTCAACAGTGGTTGCTTCGTCTGAGTTTGGTGTTTGACATCTTGTTGGTGGTTTGGATTATCTGGAAATATCGAATTTACCCGGCACTCCGATCACCGGATTCTGTGGGATCGAAGACATTTAAGTTCTGAAACAGAGGGGGTCTGAACCTGAACCAGCAGTTCCTTTGAAAACTTTGCCCCTAGTCTCCGGAAAGGGATCAGGGGTGAGAGGCCGACCTTCGAGACCTTCGGATTTCAAGGGAGGCAAATAGGAATGGAACTCTCTCTGGATGTATCGGAAGATCAGGTCCTCGTGAATTTTCCACAGGACACAGATGGGTTCTATTGGCACCATCACCTCTTGCTACATCGTGTGGCTGGGGGGGTGTGGCTTTGGCTGAGCCCGGACTATGAGATTGTCAGACATGATCTTGGTGCAATTCCTCATAGGATCATAGAGAGACGCAGTCCTTTTCCTGCTGACATCGCGGATGAGATCTACGCCCACGACCCAATAGGTAAGTCCACATTGTCTGCCTTCAAACGTCAAGCCAAAGTTCAAGCTGCTATCCTGGGTGACGGAGACATTGATTACTCCGAGGCCTATGAATGGGTTATCAGGGAGCCTCAGCATCCAAAGTTTGGGGTAGGAGCTGATGTTGGTTTGATCAACAATGGTGCAACTGGACTGGCTTTTTCGACCAAAGGGGTCATCATTGATCAAGGAGAAGAGATCTATGTGGAGCGGGTGTTGGTGAATGACCTGGAAGATTGGAGGAAAAGGAAGACCCTTGAGGGCGGTGATGATCGGCTCTTAGGTGAGATGCAAGCGGCAAGAGACGGCTGGACTTGGGAAGCGCGGTTGAGCTCATGAAGGAGACTGAAGACACAGGGTTTCCCATCGCTGGTGTCAGAGCAGCGCGTGAATATCACGAAGCTGTAGCCGGTGGTCCGAGCAATTTCCTGAGCTACCACGCTGAATGGCCTCCTTTTGCATCAATGGAAGCAAGCGCATCCCTCTCGTGTTTCAACAATCGGGAAACGATCTCAGCATTTTCAGACTGCGTTCCTGACCTCGCTGCGACCGAGCGGTTAGACCACAACATGAAATGAGAATGGGTGAGCAGAAGCTGTAGACTGACTATCAGTTGAAGCTGCAAAGTGGCCAGCATGACAGCTGAAACAGCAGCTGAAATGATGGCAAGTTCCGAACCTTTTTTTCAGGTGGCATAAATCTTTAACAAATTTCAGGCACAGCAACCTCTGCACCAGGCCCAAGCCGCAGCAGTGCAACTGGGCATGTGTGAGTGGTGAAGGGATTTAAATATTAATATATAATATATATATATATATATTATATTATATATATATTATATTATATATATATATTATTTCTTGATTTGTTTCTTTATTTTTTGTTTCTTCATTTATGTATTTTTTCATTTATGTAATGTATGTCTGTATGTATGTATGTATGTATGTATGTATGTATGTGTGTATGTATGTATGTATGTATGTATGTATGTATGTATAATGTAAATAAATAAGTATATATATATAACTATAAACCTCATAATTAAGTTATGGTAATCCCATTCCCCGTTCAGCCCTTCAAGATAAACCCAGAAGCGACGGTTTAGTAGGGGATAAACGCACATATTTGAGACCATACTATCGGTGTGTTTTGTATGCACCGCCGATGAGATTAATAGGGATATTGGGCGGATAAACACAGGCAATTTACTGGGATTGGAGATAATGGAGATACCGTAAGCACATTTGAAGCAAGCTGGCCATCGTTGAGCCAAAGGAGTTGAAAATAGTGGGGAGGAGCGCTAAATGTCCAAGATTCAGGCAATGAGGGTGCCCTCAGTGTGACATCCAACGAGTCATCCCCCCAATCATCACAGGACTGTCAGGAGCGCTCGTAGTCCGGGTGGAACCTTCAATGAGAAACACCCTGGTGTCGATTCGCGTGAACCCAATGTAAATTTGACAACCACAACAAGGAGTGATTTTAGCAAACTACAGTAAACACCTGGTTCTAGTTTCATTCGCATTGTTCATGTTCCATCCAACAAAAGAGATGATGAAAATTGACTTGTGTGTGTTTTTGGCACTACACCGAACCTTTGTCTCATGATGGTGACTTCTTGGAACTCAGCATGATGACACGTGTGTGCTGATTTTGGTAAAACTCCGCGTAGTTTGCAAATACATGTCCATGTCCATCATGTCCATGTTGTTCATGGGTTGAATAGTTGTCCAAGTGGATGTAAAACCTTGTAGTTCGCAGCCGATGCTGCTGGCGCACGCTGCAGGGAATGCCCTGCCGTGGGGGGACCTTTTTTGCAGCTGCGGCGGTCGGTTGATGGTTGCGGTTGCGCCAGATAGTTGCCGGTTTCGCCAGAAATTTACCTTCTGGTTATGACTAACATAGCCATGGTATAGATGGCCCATTTATGGATGGTTTACCTATTAAAAATCGTGATTTTCCATGTCTATGTTAAATAACCAGATGGTAAGCCTCCAAAATAGCCAATTTCAGGGGAACCTTAAGATCACCGACTTATCAATGTTATGTTCAGATGTTTAGGCGCATCATTTTATGCAAAACTTTCCACCAAAAAGGTTTTTTGGGGGGGCATGTGATGTGAAAACACATTAGGCAGTGGGAGCTGTAAGAGCTGCTTCAAACTGGGACTGCGTTGCAAGAGGTGTAGGTTTCAACAAAATACCTATATATATATTCATTGACAAATGCATACGTAGATATTTACAAGAAAATCTAGTATATAATTATATGCCTTACTTAATGATTGTGTCTTTCTTGTGATGATGAACATCCCCAGTCAACAAAGTGGCATGGCAGAATTCCACCCGGATTTTTGGTTTTTGATCAACGAAACCCTTAGATGTTAAGGGCGCATGGTTCATGGCCTTTTCCCGCCCAATCACTGGCTTTGTCATGCAGATTCGCTGCCCTGATTTCAGTTCGAACTCATGGCAATCACTTCCTCAGCAGGATTATTCCAAATGAACATTGGCGGAGCCCAAGCAGCACCTTGGATCATAGTGTTGCTACCGCACTTCAGAAGCAAACATGTGAAGAAACGGACACGTGGTATCAAGTTAATTTCGTCCAATTTCTTCACCAACAGCGCGCTGTTGGTATGATCCCTGCTTGATCCCAAGTGACTCATCTTTTTCTTCCAAAGTATGCCAGCCAAGCTTCCAGCTGGTGCCATGGGGTAAAGGTGGCCGCCATGGAGGAGTACCCTCGCGAGGCTGGGCCCGGGGCCAGGTCTATAGGGCTGAAACCATGTTTTTTGCAACATAGGGGAAGCTAGCCACGAAACAAAAGAGACAGGGAAAACCAGGGAAAAGCTATTGGGGATAGATGATGTAGGATTTGAAATGATTTAAATTTCTGTGAGAAAAGGGTGATGACATACAAGAACCAACAAAAAAAGTCAACTCTTTTGAGGATATCTAAGATTGTCCATGGTTTGTTGTGTATTATTTTGCTTTGCTGTCTTATTGGTGGGGAAACTGAATCAATGAGTGATTTCACTCACTTTTGTCAAGGGGTCTCAGCCAAAAACCAGTTTGTTTGGCCAGTATGCCGAATATTCAGCTGGCTGTATCAATGTATATCCCAATGATCCCAAACACACCCCACCATTGCTCAACATTCCTTTTGCTATGTAGCATCAGGTGCACCCTAAACCAACCCTGCATAACCAACCGTTCCAAACTAGAATAATGAGGGGCACACCTTGCAGGTGCAGGGCCATCCCTTGCTCTTGGCATCTCTGGTGGGTGCTACCTCGCTCCATCCGCAGCTCACCGAAGCCTTACACGATGCGGCGGTGAACGCCTGCAAGCAGCGGCGCTTCAAGCGCCTCGGAGGGGCATGAAAAATACCACCAACAGGGTGATTTTAGTGACCCATTTTCAGTGGATAATAACCATATAAAATCATTTAGTAACCCATTAACGGAGGAACATGATGCCATAAATCAGTGGATTTTGAGTACAAAACACAAAACAAACACATCTGAGACTCTGTTGATGAGTGAATTTCATGGGAATATCATGGGGATAAACATATAATGAAATTTAATATGATGTGACCATACTAGACGACGGATGGCCCGAGAGCGTAGAGGAGCAGAGTCTTCTGTTGTTAGTATGGAGACACTATATTACAAGATAATATGATAAAGATGTATTATAGGCAGACGAGAAGAGTAGTATCAAGACAATATATGACTAGTACAAGACAATAGTTTGCATCGTATTTTTGTAAAGTTTTTCATACACAGAACTTTTTACAGACAGACGCTTTTGCACACAGAGACTTTTACACACAGACGCTTTTACACACAGACGATTTTGCACACAGAGACTTTTACACCCAAACACTTTTACACACAGAGACTTTTACACACAGACGATTTTGCATACAGAGACTTTTACACCCAAACACTTTTACACACAGAGATTTTTACACACAGACGATTTTGCATACAGAGACTTTTACACCCAAACACTTTTACACACAGAGACTTTTACATACACAGACGCTTTTACACACAGAAGCTTTTACACACAGACGCTTTTACACACAGACGCTTTTACACACAGACGCTTTTACACACAGACGCTTTTACACACAGACGCTTTTTACACACAGGCTCTTTTACACACAGACGCTTTTACACACAGAGACTTTTACACACAGACGCTTTTACACACAAGCGCTTTTACACACAGACGCCTTTACACACAGACGCTTTTACACACAGACGCTTTGACACACAGACCCGTTTACACACAGAGGCTTTTACACACAGAAGCTTTTACCCACAGACGCTTTTACACACAGACGCTTTTACACACAGACGCTTTTACACACAGACGCTTTTACACGCAGAAGCTTTTACACACAAACACTTTTACACACACACGCTTTACACACAGACTTTTGCACACAGACGCTTTTACACACAGACGCTTTTACACACAGAGGCTTTTACACACAGACGCTTTTACACGCAGAAGCTTTTACACACAAACACTTTTACACACAGACGCTTTACACACAGACCCTTTTACACACAGACGCTTTACACACAGACCCTTTTACATACAGACTCTTTTACACACAGACGCTTTTACACACAGATGCTTTTGCACACAGAGACTTTTACACACAGGCGCTTTTACACACAGACGCTTTTACACACAGACGCTTTTACACACAGACGCTTTTTACACACAGACGCTTTTTACACACAGACGCTTTTACACACAGAGACTTTTACACACAGAGGCTTTTACCCGCAGAGACTTTTACACACAGACGCTTTTACACACAGAGACTTTTACACACACAGACGCTTTTACACACAGACGCTTTTACACACAGACGCTTTTACACACAGACGCTTTTACACACAGATGCTTTTACACACAGACGCTTTGACACACAAACACTTTTACACACAGAGATTTTTACACACAGACGCTCTTACACACAGACGCTTTTGCACACAGACGCTTTTACACACAGATGTTTTCAGACACAGACGCTTTTACACACAGACGCTTTTACACACAAACGCTTTTACACACAGATGCTTTTACACACAGACGCTTTTACACACAGATTTTTTTACACACAGACGCTTTTACACACAGACGCTTTTACACACAGAGACTTTTACACACAGCTGCTTTTACACACAGACGCTTTTACACACAGACGCTTTTACACACAGATGCTTTTACACACACAGAAGCTTTTACACACAGACGCTTTTACACACACACGCTTTTGCACACAAACGCTTTTGCACACACAGTTTTTCACACACAGACGCTTTTACACACAGACGCTTTGACACACAGACAAGTCCGGCACAGGAAAAATCGCATTTTTTCCTCAGTTTCTACCGATCGACCTTCATTTCGTGCGAAAGGGTTGCTCCGGGACAAGTAAAATCGCAATTTTTCCTCAGTTTTTGCCGATCGACCCTCATTTCGTGCGAAAGGGTTGCTCCGGGGCAAGTCAAATCGCAATTTTTCCTCAGTTTTTGCCGATCGACCTTCATTTCGTGCGAAAGGGTTGCTCCGGGACAAGTCAAATCGCAATTTTTCCTCAGTTTTTGCCGATCGACACTCATTTCGTGCGAAAGGGTTGCTCCGGCACAAGTAAAATCGCATTTTTTCCTCAGTTTTTGCCGATCGACCCTCATTTCGTGCGAAAGGGTTGCTCCAGGACAAGTAAAATCGCAATTTTTCCTCAGTTTTTGACGATCGACCCTCATTTCGTGCGAAAGGGTTGACGTTTCGTGACTCGCCGCCGGCACCACCCTCGGCCTTAAGAGAGAAAGATAAAGAAGGCGAGAGAGAGAAAAGGGAGAGAGAAAGGAGAGAAGATGTGAAGATGAGCAGATGTGAGAGAAGATGTGAGAGAAGATGTGAAGATGAGCAGATGTGAGAGAAGAGAAGATGTGAGAGAAGATGTGAAGATGAGCAGATGTGAGAGAAGATGTGAAGATGTGAAGATGAGCAGATATGAGAGAAGATGCGAAGATGAGCAGATGTGAAGATGAGCAGATGTGAGAGAAGATGTGAGAGAAGATGTGAAGATGAGCAGATGTGAGAGAAGATGTGAAGATGAGCAGATGTGAAGATGAGCAGATGTGAGAGAAGATGTGAAGATTAGCAGATGTGAGAGAAGATGTGAGAGAAGATGTGAAGATGAGCAGATGTGAGAGAAGATGTGAGAGAAGATGTGAAGATGAGCAGATGTGAGAGAAGATGTGAGAGAAGATGTGAGAGAAGATGTGAGAGAAGATGTGAAGATGAGCAGATGTGAGAGAAGATTTGAAGATGAGCAGATGTGAGAGAAGATGTGAGAGAAGATGTGAAGATGAGCAGATGTGAGAGAAGATGTGAGAGAAGATGTGAGAGAAGATGTGAAGATGAGCAGATGTGAGAGAAGATGCGAAGATGAGCAGATGTGAAGATGAGCAGATGTGAAGATGAGCAGATGTGAGAGAAGATGTGAAGATGAGAAGATGTTTTACAGACCCCCACTATTGGAAGAACCCTGCGCTCAGACGCTCTCGGGAACAAAACGGTTTTGAAAACCCTGAAGCAGAGGGATGTTACTGGGATGTTGATGGGAATATAATTGATTTTCCAAGACTATATGAATGATTAATTTGTATAGATGCTGCCCTTTGGCATTAACTGCCACGGTTTGCGAACTTCACAATGGTAATTCATCGAGCTACATGGCCATAGCTATGTTAGTTCCTCTATCCCATCCCGTTACATTGGTTGGTTAGTAAATATTCCTATTATGGGCTGAACTAGTCCCTCAATCAGCCAGCTAGAAGACCCTCCAATTGATTTTTCATGGCTCAAGTGAAGGGAAGGAAGATAATCGGATGGTGGCATTTAATCCAATTTTTTGCTGCCTAATCCTGCTATTATGTTGGCAAAATCAGAGTGTTATATGATATGTGTTATTTTGATGGTTCAACATGTTGTTTAATCTCCAATTCTTGTTCTGGTTCGTGGTTTTCAAGATTTCTTGATCTTCAACCCTATGTGGGAGGATGATACAAACCTACTTTTCTCCAAAACATTTGTGTGGCTAGAAGTCACCAGCCAGTTCTGAATCTTTTTCTCAGCTCCAGCGCCAGGTACCTCAGTAGCAGCTATGACATGCGGATTTTGCCTGCCAAGCGCGGTGGGCGCGACAGTCCTAACTATCGCTGGGAGGGCGTTTTGAAGCGCAGTTGGTTGGAGAAAATGTGCCTGGGCGGTGATAGCCATGAGAATCCTGATCCTTACGTAGTTGTTTCTTAATAGAAGGGATACCTGAGTAAAGGATACCTTATAATAGAAAGAAAGGTATCATAGAAATCCTTATCCGTACCGTACCTGTTATTGTTGATGTTTCATGCTCCCGTTGGATGTTTATGTAGTTGAAGGGGCCCTGAAGGGGTGCAATGTAGATGGCAAATGAACATATATTGAACTCATTGTTGAATAATAATTACGGGTTGCCATTAACTCCTTCCCACTATATAATTAGTGTCAGTTAAGACATGAGTCATAATCGCAATCCAATGATTACGATTATTCAGTAAGTATACCATGAAGGTTATATTATTGCAAAGCTTCTAATGTTTTTTTTGTTTTTGTTTGCCGTAGTCCAAACAGAAAGTTATACCACTATATCGTACTATCTATGGCTATCAGTGGGATCTACTCTCATACTATACCCAAATACTATATTCATCTATATTCTAGGAATCCAAATGGATCCAAATAGTCCTCAAATAAATTAGTCCAAATAGTCCAAATAGTGACTCGATAGTCCAAATACAAGTAGTCTAAGATAGCTATTGAACATGACCCATTTGGTTCTCTGAATCACCTCTAAAACTTGGCGATGTTCCAGTTCGCAAACTGTTGGCACCCGAGGCTACAATACTTATGCGGAACCCACCTTGCTTATCGCTGTTTGTTGGTTAAATCACGGTGTAAGCACCATTAAATTCATGGAAAACTTTTGGTAATTTCACATGTAGCTATGTAAAATCACCATGTTGAGTACTTAGTTATCTATAAATTTGCAATTGTTTTCATCTATGCACCAAATTACCAGAGGGATTCCAGAGGGTATATCACCATTAATATTCCTATTATTTATCTATATATATATATATTTATACTTATATTCCTCATGAAATCCGCATGAATCCCCAGGAAATCCCAGCATGATTCCCTATCATATCTGTTGAACCCAGCATTTTGCTGCGGAAAACATGCCGCCCCTGGCTTTCCTTCGCCCCTGTCACCCAGGTGCGGAAGCATCCCCGCGGTGCTGGTGCTCTGCATCGATTGGTCCCAGGAGCTGAGCCAAGCGGAGCAGGAGCGAGAACTCAATCGCCGTGGTCGGGTGAGATTCAGTGATTATATCAACAGTGTATGATTAAGTAAGTATATTGAATATCAGTTAATAATGCTAAAAAAGAAATGGTTAAGAATGGTACTGCAAACAAATATATATATATATCTTATCTATCCATCCATCCATCCATCTATCTATCTATCTATCTAGCTATTTATGTATATAGCTAATTTAAGTCCAGCTTTAGATGATGATCATTATTGACAATTGACATCAAATACCCTGCTGGAAATCCCACTATAGTCAGTACACATTGTTTGGAATTGGTAATAAACATTGAAACAAAAGGTTCAACCTCTGATTGTCATATGACCATGTATGGATAATGATTCTGGGACATATATTGTAGAACCCCCGTTTGGCTTAAGACTGCTTTTACCGTTTTGGTGCAGGAGGGGGGGGGTATTGGTGCACGGCTGGTGCGCGGAAAAGGAAAATAGGGGCAAGGGTGGGTCTGGGAAGGGAAAAATAGGTGCGGGAGTGGGTTCTTGCCAATCTATGGATCCAGTCAGGATCCCGTCGGCACCCAGTCGGGCACCAATTTTTGCATTTTTGGGCACCGCTTTTGGCCAGTCGGGATCCAGTCGGGATCCAGTCGGGCACCAATGTCGGGAGGCAGCCAAATTCATAAAAAATTGCATTTTTGCAGTGTTTTTGCATGTTTTTCGGTGATTTTGGCTGCTTCCCGACAGGTCCAAGCGTGGTGCCAAAAATTCGAAAATTGGTGCCCGACTGGATCCCGACTGGATCCCGACTGGCCAAAAGCGGTGCCCAAAAATGCAAAAATTGGTGCCCGATTGGGTCCCGACTGGGTCCCGACTGGGTCCCCGACTGGATCCCGACCCGGTTTCTTCAAAAAAACACCTATTTCCTTAAATTTGAGCACCTATTTTTGAAATTTTAGCACCTTGCCGTGCACCACCCCCCCCCCCACCAGTCTTAAGCCAAACACGGGCTTGGCAAGACATATATATATATATATATATACGTAATACATATCTATATACGTAATATATATATATATATATATGTGTGTGTGTTCTTTTGTAAATTATACAAGGTCCAATCAGTATATGGTGGGACCATGTCCTAATGTGCAACCTCTGATGGTTTCCCATCATATTCTTGAGGCGGCCTAATGCATTTGTTTGGTTAGTTAGTTCAGTTAGTTTGTAATGCCAAAATTTGTTAGTTTTAATACATTGGTTTAAGGGAGCATCCGGAGGAAATCAAAGGTTTCGTCATCAAATGTAGGGGGTTCCTGCAGATTTTCCCTTCAACCATGTCTGGGATCGTCGAACCATCATCGTATCCCTATTCTATTCCATTGCGCCGCAATTTTTCATGATATTTCATCAGCTTGAAACCATGTTCATGGTAGAACCAGGCATTTTTGGCTGGTGCAATCTCCAAATTTGTCAAGTCCCAATTTTTGGTGCTAATTCATCGCCATTTCCCATAGCCCCATTTCGTGGATTTCCCAGTCAACACGCCATTCAACCAACGCAAAGGAAAACAGGGTGATACTGTCATGCTATATTATATTTTTTGTTATTGGTCAATAAACAACGGTAAAATAATATAATAGACCACAGTTATAACCACAATCCCATGAGATCCCAAATGATTCCATTATATCCCATGATATTCCGAAATAAATCCCAGGCAATCATGGTTGGCTAAATCCCATGAAATCCCAACGAATCCTGCAGGAAGAGTCTCAAGCCTTGCACTATTTGCAGCACGCGCGGCGACAGGCAAAGGACAGGGTCCCAGGGTCGCCGGCGCAGGTCAGAGGTGACGGATGGAGACCTACGAGAAAACCAAAAAGGCGAGGGAAAATGAGTCACATCCATAGGAAATTGTTGGGATTTAATTATGGGATTATTATGGGATTATTAGGATTTAATGAATCACATCTACGGAAATTATGGGATTTGTTGGGATTTTTCATGGAATCATTGTTATTTACCAATTTTTATAACGGATTGATTATACTATATAGTATGCTATAGTATGATATGAATCTTTATGAACAAAACACAAGAAATATCAAACATTGACATGAAATGCAAATTGAACAATGATTCAATAAACCGCATTAAACCCATGAAGTTTCATCGGACCCAGGGCCTTTCCTTTGGATCCCAGGGGCCTGGCCAGGAGCGGGACTTGCGCCTGGTGCTTTTCGTGGTGCTCCACCCCAAAAGCGCCGACCCGGAGGCGACCGCAGGAGATCCTTCCGGATCCTTCGGCCAGTGGTATGACTCTTTGGTTATCATAGCGAACTGGAAAATCATCACAAAATCATCATTTTTAATAGGTAAAATCAGGTCAATCATGTGTTTTTGCTCTTTATCACCTATGAACCGATCATTTGTTCATAGCTATGTCAAATAAGCACATGGTATAAGTTGGTTAATAAACCCAAGTAGCTGGTTCGATATTACTACCATAAACCATCCTTAAAATAGTGAACTAAATTAATTTGGCTAAGGACTGGTGGCCCCACCCACGTTGTAATAAGTGGCATTATTAATAGTGAATATCCTCAATTTCAGCTCAAATCCAGTGTTGTTAATATGTGTGTTTAGCTTGTATGTTTTTTAGAGAATTGCATGAAGTCTCATATTATATAAGTAATTATCATATTAAGACCGTATTGAACGAATTGTGAATATCTTAAAACTATGAAACCATGTTGAATGAGGAATCCAGTTTCCTCGAAATGCACAAACAACTTTGAGTTACTAGATAGATACATTCCGTTAATTTAAGATAACCGTGGAAAATCACAGAGAGAGAGAGAGAGGGAGAGAGAGAGAGAGAGAGAGAGAGAGCAGGTTAACCATCGAACAAAATGAGCCATGGCTTCCACTCCGCAACCTGGTGAATTACCACAGGATCATGTTTCCCACTTATATCCCCATCATATCCCATTATGCACGAAGGTTTCATAGTTCAGTTACATATACATTTTAGTTGGCTATGGCATCCTCCATTTTCCATAGAAGAAAAAACCTGAGTCCACATTTTCCTGCATGGATTCCCATGGTTTCCCCATGCATTCCCATGGTTTCCCCATGGATTCCCATGGTTTCCCCATGGATTCACATGGTTTCCCCATGGTGGTTTCCCATATTTCTTATAATTTTCTCATATGTTCCCACAGTTTTACATAGTTCTCCAACAGTTTTCCGCCAGTTTCCCATAGTTTTCCCATGATTTTCCAATAGTCGGACGTAAATTGATCTTATAGTTGATGCTGATTCCATTCAATTTCCACTAAACCCTGGGTAAATCTTCCACATGTTTGCTGTCATGTTGGCCGCCAGGCAGCCACCCGCAGCTTGCACGAGGGTGCCGGCGGGCTGGTGATGGCCATGGGTCTGGAAGACCTGAAAGCCAAGGCGGGGATGAAACTTACGGCGGTATCATTTGGTTTAATATGGTTTAATTATATGTTTAGATGGGATTGTATGTGTGTTCATCTCGTTTCATATTCTTTCGGTGATGTAGATTGGATTCGGCCATCAAGAAATAGGGATTGTTTATGAAATTTAAATGATTATTATTATGGTAGTTTAGTGTGGCTTTACCATGTGTCTGATAATTGGATATGATTGGGATGTTAATAAAGACATGGTGTCCGTGGGAATTTCAGACCCTAAAATGGAGCTACTGTACCATATTTTTGGCCATGTTTAGTGTGGATATTCTGATATTTCCTTACGTAGCCCTTACATAGGCGTTATATATGGTTGGTACCTCCAATCTAGCTTTCTGAAACGGTCATTGAATATGGTTTAATGATGATTAATATGGTTTACTACGGAAAACATGTGTTTTACTGTGGTTTAATTTGAAGCAGTAAAATTTGATGTTACTGGGATTTCATGGACTTTAATGGGGTTTAACGGTTTAACCATCAACAAGTAGAGATTTAATGTGGTTTTATGATGCTATAGTGACCAAAAATGTGAATTTAGTCGGCTTAATGTGGCGTAAAATGCTTTAATTCGTCATTCGTAATGGGCTAAGCGGCTAATCATAAAGTTTTTTAGCAGCACTACCCTATTCTTAAAACAAAGTAGCTATTTTGCGAACAAAGAAGCCATGGCCGAGTCTTTGGATCGATCACTTCCTATTGATTTCGATGATGATTTCCAGGGGTCCACCGGAGGCGCCCAGTCTGGAAAGATTGATCTACCAGAACGCCATATCCTTCTACGCAGATGAGGCGGGGGACTTGGGACTTCCCCAACGGGCCGGGGCCACGTTTGGAGTCCCCACCGTTTTCTGAATTCCGATGGGTTGGTGAAACGCAAAGAGTTGGTGGGTGCTGTTTTCCGTAATGGCCAGCGTAACTATTGTGATCTCCTGTGTATGATATGGTATGAGGAAATGTGTCACTGAAAGTCGTGAACGGTGGTTCAAGAGTGGTGATTCCCCCCCCAGTTTTTTCTTCGAAGTTTTTGATGGAAAATAGTATGGTCAGATGGTCATTTATCCCCTTTCATGTGGTTGAAGCAATAATACACCGTCCCACCTTCACCATAAATGGGTGGTATAAACCATCAACAATCAACAATGGGATTGTTTATTATTGTTTTAACGACATTACATCGATTGCATCTACCATATTTTGAGCGCCAACTTTGCAGGACATGATATCAGAAATCCCCATTGTAGTGGCGGGTTTGCTTATTTGTTCATAGCCGACGGGATAAACTTATATCTTTACCTTCCATGACATTCTTGTCAGTCTCTCAACATGTATACGACATAACGTGGCAATCTCATTCTTGAGGCCCTTTTGGACCTGGCAGTGGAAGCATTCATATTCAAATGATTTTATTCCCTTCAACAAGGTGGAATTCCCAGCCTGCCAGGTTAGATGGTTACCAGGCAGTATCCAAAGTTGTTTGTAGATCCCGTAGACGGGCCATGGTTGCAACCCATTGGGGACATGACCCAGTTACCCTAGGGGAAAACCCGCCAGAAATGTAGATTCTTTTCCTGGGGAAACCCATGGATTTCCAAATTGTTGTGCTACGCTACTAGAGGCTGACCAGTTCACCTCAAGGTGGTGCTATAAACTAAGCCTTCCCTAACTAACGAACTAACGGTCTGGGGCGCCTACGAAAAAAAGTACATATCCCATGCTATCCTCAAGACATGGTGACATGATTAAATTGATAAAATGTCCCTTTTCCTTGTTTTTTCCCATGCTTAAATCACCATGTTTGTTGGCAAAGGAGAAGCGGCTGCGCAAGGCGTGGGCGCCAAAGGTGCCCAACATGCCGATGCAAGTGGCCATGCAGGTGGGGCATGGCACCCAGAGGCTTTTGGGGATACTTTAAGTCCATGGTCCATAGATATTGTATGGTATATTTAATGGTGTAACTATAATCATAACTTAATAGTGAATAGATGGAGTAATAGATGTTAAATCCATGTTGTTAATATTCCCAATATCGTGTATGGATGACTATAATCACAACTGGGGGGTTATTATGACCTATATGTCCGTGAAGGACTAAGTTTTATGACGGCATGGGGCATGATACTCATCCATCGGATTTATCACGTCTAGAAAAAGATGATTTGAAATTTGGAGGTTTCCTACGGAGTACCCCTAAAAATCATCCATTTATATATAGATGCATTTTGAATCAAAAACCACCCAGCTATTGGGAAAAAAAAACATGGCTATAGAGACCCACATTTGGCAGGCTTATCCATTCATCCAGGTGCGTACCAACTTCAAGGTGGCCTTCTTGAACGAGTTCCGGAAGGATGCTCGCGGGGCACTGACGGCCTACGTCAAGGCCTACGAGCTGCTGCTGAAGGCGACGGAAACGGGCAACTGGGGAAACTGGGGAAACCAGAGGATTTGGTGGGCTTAATCGTGATTTTATAGGCTTTTATGGGGTTGATCTTTTTTTTCAAGTGGATTTAAAGGGGTTATTTATTTATTTATTTACTTATTTATTTATTCATTTATTTATTTATATGTTAATGGGATTTCATAGGAATTCATTGGATTTCATGGGATTTGTGATGATTCAATGGGATTCAATAGGGCTCATGATAATTCAATGGGATTTAATGGGCCTTATCCTCTGGTACTTTAACTATAGAAGTTGATTTACTGTTTGCAAATTTTGTGATTTCGCATAGCTATATTATTGAATTTACCGGAGGGTATGTAGTTATATATATATATATACTTTGACAATAATCATTAACATGGAGTAGATCGAAACTGATATTTTAACGATATTCCCATTTGAGTGAGGTGTTTTTGTTGACATGTCCATGTTTTATCTACTCCAGGATGATTATTCATATATACATATATATATATACACAATAAAGTCCCAACGTGTTGAACAGCAAAATTGTTCAAACATAATTAAAATTAACTTCTGTTTTTTTGGGCAACTATATGTTGATTTAAACACATGGAAACACAGACATATATATATATGATATTATGTATGTAATGCATCAAATAATATAAATAATTGTGTATATATGTATTATAAATATATGTTATATTGTATATAGATTGTCGTTCCATTTCAGGTCATGAGTAATCAATACTTTTAGAATCCATATCAACAAATATGCTTAAACATAATGCCACCAGGCATGTGGATTTAACATGCACGACATTTGGATTTGAATACTCAGAAAGGTGGATTTCATTGAATTATGGAAGCAACATATCCAGACGAAGTTTTTAATGCGTATGTTGAATCTGAACCAGCACACATGGTGATGTTTACCCTCTGGTAATTTAACATACTATTGAACATCACCATTTTTCATGGGAAAAAATCACTATAAATGGTGATTTTCCATAGTTATGTTACATTACCAGGAAAATTAACTATGAAAAATTGTGATTTTCCATAGTTATGTTAAATTACCAGGAAAATTCACTATGAAAAATGGTGATTTTCCATAGTTATGTTAAATTACCAGGAAAATTCACTATGAGAAAATGGTGATTTTCCATAGTTATGTTAAATTACCAGGAAGATTCACTATGAGAAAATGGTGATTTTCCATAGTTATGTTAAATTACCAGGAAAATTCACTATGAAAAATGGTGATTTTCCATAGTTATGTTAAATTACCAGGAAGATTCACTATGAGAAAATGGTGATTTTCCATAGTTACTGTATGTTAAATTACCAGAGGGTAAACATCAAGACTTGCCGGTGAATCTTGGAGGACTCAGCCGGTAGGATGCCTTCATGGTCCCAAGAGTCCATGTTTTTTCACCCCGCGCTATAACAATTGGTATACACATGGATTTGGGGTTTAGGGTTTCCCCAGTTTCCCGGTTTTGGGCAGCGATTTGGGTTTCGAGTGACCCGCGGTCACTCGCCACTGGAGCATACACCAAGTCCTCCAACACCCAATAGCATGACGATCTTTAGTCGTGTCAAGGGGTATGGTCTTTCTTGGGGTCTGTTGGACTTTCTGAGGCTCTCATTGTAATTACTGGTTGTATGGGTTAGTTCATAATCATTAATTAATCCCCAAGTCAGGTAACATAACTCCTTACCTGAAAACCAATCAACAAGGGTATTTAACATAGTTGTGGACAATGACGGATTTATAGATGGCTGATGATGATTTGCATTGATTTACCCATTATAGATAGTGATTTCCCACTTATGAATGATTTTTC